CACTCTTAATAAGTCTTTCATACGCTCTTCTGTTGATATCCTTCCTAATGATACAAATCATATAGACAATAATTTTAGTGGTTTTAATACCCTTGATGTGCTTAAATGTCTCCGGTCTCTTAAGCCTTCTCAAAGCCTTGGTCCTGACGGTGTACCTGCCATTGTCCTCAGGAACTGTGCTGATATTTTGTGTTACCCTCTTACTAACATTTTTAATGCTTCCTTTTCCGGTAACGTTCTACCTTTTGCATGGAAAAACATTAAAATTATCCCCATACCAAAACCATCTTCTGGTACTGATATTAAATTTCGGCCTATTGCAATTACTTCTCCTTTTTTAAAATTGGTGGAAAAATTACTTTTACTTCGTCTTGAACCTTCATTGAAACCTTTTAATGATCCTAAACAATTTGCATACAAACATGGTAGAAGTACCTTGGATGCTGCGGTTGTCTTATATCACAATGTTGTTTCTTGTTTAGACAAAGGTGCCAAATATGTTCGTAGTGCTTTCCTAGACTACACATCTGCTTTTGACTCTGTACCTAGGGGCCTTTTATTAAATAAGCTTTCGTTGACGCAAACAGGATCCTGGGCTAAGAGTTGGTTGCATTCCTATTTTTCTGATAGAATGCAGTATACTGTATATAATGGCAAATCTTCTACCTCGCTTACAAAATCCGGTGTTCCTCAAGGTGCCGTCCTCTCTCCTTTTATTTTTTCTTTCTTCCTACATGACCTGCCTCATTTAAACGAAACTAACTTTGTCAAATATGCAGATGATCTGACTGTATCACTGCCTATCACTTCCGAGTCTGACAGCTCCAAACTTAATAGCTTTCTGTTGGACATCAGCAAGTGGTCCAAGTCAAATGGTCTTATGTTAAATCCTTCCAAATGTCAGGCAGTTAACTTTACTTTCAAGCATCGACGTGACTTACATGAACTAGTTAGTTCCCATGATGCCTGTAGCATAGATGGCACAGAAATGAAACCAAGTCAAGCATTAAATACCTTGGATTAGTTCTTTCCTCTGACCTTTCATGGTCATCCCACATCTTATCTATCTCTAAGAAAATGTTTCGTCTTACCTTCTACATTAAAAAGTTAAGACAATCAGGTATCAACCAACCTTTACTTCTGCAGTTTGTAAACTCCTGTATTTTACCTATTGTACTCTATTGCTCTCCATTAATCTTTCCTGGGCTTCTCAAAAAAGACTATATCATATTACGAAGGGTATTAAATGCTGTGAGTAGAGCTTGTAGTATGCCATTGCGTGAGCTCGCCAATACTATAGTCGAGAGACATATAAATTCCTGTACAAAATGGGCAAAGCCGTACTGTCAGACCCCCTGCACCCCCTTTATTCACAACTATCCCCTTGCATTTCATCAGGTAGGACGAGAAGTCAATATAAGAAGTTATATGCTCGCACCACTAAGTACAAAAATTCTACAATACCCTATTTATCCCGTATTTTATGTGATGGAGACACTGTTAGACGTGAAATGTATAAGTTACTATGTAATTAGCAAAGTGAATCGACCCTTTCATTGTTCATCTTTCTGTAATTTTATGGTGTCACACTTTCTATCGTTTGATCATAACTTTGCTATTTTATTTTAGTTGCTATTACTATTATTACTATGATTTTATACTTTATGCATATTTTTCTCCGTATCGCATACTGTAATTTCCTACATAGCTGCTATAACAAAGTTTTATTATTATTGTGTAATGTTTATTTTTATATTTTTTTGTCGTTTTTGAGTAAATTAGATGCAATATTGTACTAAATGCTGGAAATTCCTTGCTGTATCATTAATACTGTTTTTGGAATAAAGCAAAAATTATTGTTATTTTTATCAAGCGTATTCCGGAACATTGGCCAGCCAGAGGAGAAAAGAGGAATAGTAACAGCTCCATCTTCGAACACCTTGTTAACCCTGGACATCGAGCACCCCTACATGAATGCTTCACAGTGCTACTCAGAGTCCCTCAATATCGTACAAAGGGACTTCTCATGCGTCATCTGTACTTGGCTGAATCATTAGCTATTCCGGACCTCTGCATTCAACAGCGCTACATACATTCACTCGCCCTACCGTGACCAGAGTAACATTCTTACTATAATTTTGCTTCTTTTTACCATCTTATGAAAATGAAGCGTCGAAAAGAAAATTTTCTTCGCTGTTTACGTCCTTTTCTTATGACTCAATATGAGAATTATCAGACTTTCATTGTCTCTTTAAATTGTTAACTAAACAAAATATACTACTTCAAAGTAGTATGCTGTAATGATAACAATTTCCTCAGGTTGTTTTTTGGTAATTGTGAAAACTGAAGAATTCTCTTCACTTTATCTGACTTGCTTTATACTACGAATAAGGAAAGTGTAGTACTGTTGGGCAACAAAATGCCTTGATTTGGTGAATAACCAATTTACTCATTGAAACAAAGAGACATCCCGATGTAGTTCTCCTATTGAGTTTTCCTAATAAAATAAGTCGTAGACAGTGGTGCTGTTGGAAAACAACAAAAGACTAATATTAAATTATAGGTTAATTGGTGGATGGTGACTACCAGTAGAATCCCAGATGCGCATTCCGTCCTATTTGGGACTCGTCATCTGGATGCACTGTACTAAATTGTTTAGAAAAGATTGCAAAACACACACACGCACACATAAATATGTATATATTTCAAACTGTCAATAACAAATAATTTTCTGTGAGTATATTGTTTAATTTGTTCAATGCGAAACTAGTCAACTGTAGTTTTGAAAATATTATTAATGCAATATACAAAAATAAATTGTTCAGGATTGATTTTGTCTCACATTTATATTACCGTAATAAATTGTATTCTGATATGATGTATAAACAAATGCGATGAATAGGTTTCCAGTTATGCACTGGATAAATCATCCACAAATAGACTGGTCGGTTATTTGTCTCAGTCGAACAGGCAGACAATGAAAATCTTCTAAAAAAATACCACCTAGCAGTGTCGTGAATGTTGCTTAGTCTATCTCAGAATCTTCAGTGTCATCTATCACAGACTGCTGTAAGATAAAACAATTATTAAAGATAACATGTATTAGTTAGTTAGAGAAATATAGAGAGGTAGGGAAATATTATTATTTATTTATTATTTCTTCGTCCTTGACATATATATACTACAACTTTTCGTCTGAAAAAAGAATGAAGAACTCAGATGGCATATGTGTGTGTGTGTGTTTCAGATTCAGCTATTTGTTTGTAAACTTGAGTTTTCCACAACATTGTCCTTTTTATAACATGAAAATATAAAATGTATAAAGTGTACAGTGTACTTTTAGCAGACAATAACGACGAATGACACCAGCCATAATATATATAAACAGACATTCAGACGTCGTCCACAATATAATAACTTATTTTTATTATCAGGTGAGTTTTACTTGGCGGCTAATTATTTATCAGACAGATATATACATATATGCATTTCTATGTGTGAATGGATAAATCAATACGAATTTATTCGTCTGTCCACTGTGCTTGGATGAATAAATACTATTTTTTTTATATAAATATTTTAAACCAAAAATGAATCATCAGATTAATCGAACTATTCTACACCAAAATAACAATATGATTGGTGAAGAAAAGACTAAATTACAGAAAGGCTGAAAACGACAAAAGAAAATCGATTCAAAAACACTAGATGTGTTTAGTACAGGATAAATTTCTATACGTTTGAAATAAACGACAAAAAGTGAGGTTAAATGATGCGAAAATAGGCTTTCAGATAATAGTCATCAGCATTAGTTTGCATGGCGGGATAATGTTGTCAGAAGTAAGTTTATGGCTTAGAGAGACCACGAAATCACTGATTGAATGTCTCTGTGCTGGTTTCGGGGGGACATACACTGAAATTTGGAGGATACAGAGAAGACAGACATGTCCTCGGTGCAAGATTAACAGGCGAAGTCATAAAGTGTTCCATATTTTGTGCGTCGGTAGCTCAGTGGTAGAATGCTCGCTAGCCATGCATGTGGTCTGGGATCTATTTCCAGCCGACGTACTCCTAGACATAGCTTAGCCGAGAGTAAGCTCGGTAGAGGTAGTTTGAGCATAAAGCCACCTAGCATCCCCACCCCGCATAGCGAAACTTCAGAGCTGAAGCTTAAGGCTTTATAGTGCGTCGGTGGCACAGTGGTTAGGACTCTCACCGATCATGCACATGGTCCGGGGTTCGATCCTCTGCCGACGCACACCTGATATCTATGGTCGGCCTGAAAAATTCGGGCTACCGATATCCATGCTGAAAATCCCATAATGGAACCAAGAATACAGTGTGGAATCAAGCTGTAAATCAAAAAAAAATGTTCCACTAGGGATATATATATATATATATATATAAGGTTAATAATAAAAGAGTGGCTCTTAAGGCAACCCTTGGATATACATGAATATCTTTACAAACCACCATCATAATAATACCCTCACACATTAACTCGCATAACTAGGGAAAAAGAACCTAGATATATTACTTACATTGGATTGCTTATTTGTTTAAAATCTTAGAAAATGCTCATATTGAAATGTTAACATCAGTTTGACACCATATAATTGTTATAGTAGGTGATAATATAGCCATTATGGTTAGTAAAAAGATAGCGATTCACAAAGGTAAGACTGTGTGATAAATGAGAACACAGAGGTTTCCATACATTACTATTTAATAGGACAAACACCTGTGGGTGGGGGTACTCGAATAATATTTATTCATAGCAGAAGGGCATACATCATCTCGTGACTTTCATTTATGTTTCCTACCGTACACAATCTGTTAACAAAGATAAAAAGTAAGACTTACCCAACCACCATGTTTATATACCCAGTCAGCATACCATCGTGTAAAAAATGTAATAGTGTAATCTTTTATTCGGCCCACATTAGCTCGACATCGACCAATTTCAGTGACAATTGTATCATACATGGGATTTAATGGGTCTATACCCCCTGACATAATTCACTTGACGCACGAGGAAGAGAACAACTGTAAATCCGATACAAACACAAAATATGATTAACAAACCAGAACTATTAGTCGGTTTTATTCTAATCATGTAGATAGAAGCTTTTTTTCAATTAATTTATAACTTGGCTGTAAACATTATTATCATCACTATGTAACACTTCTTGTATATTTCTGACTTGACTATCGCTGTAAATACCAAAACAAAACTGCCAATATCAATCCTGTAATATTATTTTTTTTAATATTTGTTTTTTCCTGTTGTCGCGTAAATTAAACGCAATATTGTACCAATTGCTGAAAACTCTACATTGTATCATGAGTACTGTTTTAGAATACAACAAATTATTATTATTATCGGTAGTAGTAGTAGTAGTATCACTCAGACTATTTTTTTTCAATAAAAAAACGTTTTTTGATTTCTATCGATGCATTCATACTGGTTGTGAAAACATGAACAGTCATTGGTCTTCATTCCAATCTTAGACAAAATAAAAGCGGTCTGTGTCGCATTGCAAATATTAAGGCAAATGACACGTATTTTTTTTCTTTACTAATACCATTGTCACCTAGAGAACACTTATACAACATCTAGGTTAGCAAAAGTGTTATCACATAAATCAATACTGATCAATAACACCTAGACATTTTTGTCCATAATATTGTGATGAGAGCTGGCTGCTAGTCAAAATTGGTGGACAGTAATTTACGTCAATTTTTATGTTCCCAATATTCGTCGTGAGAAAAATGAGAACAAAGACTTTGCGTAGGCGGATACAGTTAGTATATAGATGATCTGATATTCAAGAAACAGCCACAAAAAGATGCAAGGTTAACTTTCTGTGAGAAACAACCACCAATCAGAAGACTGTGTATTTCTGCTAACAATAATCTATAATAATGTACATGAAAATCTATAAATATGTGTTGATTTCCATAATAAATGATCTGTTACCTGGCCCTTGTCTTCTGTTGTCACAATATAACCCGTAGATCATAATCTGTATGGGCAAGTGAACAATTCTGCTTTCACAAAAATCATGCATTATAACAGTATAAGGACTGATTAGTGTAATAGCAGTATGCATCATCAGCCTCCGCAATTGCAAGAAAGAGGCGATACCATAATTAAATAAAGATAGTAATGAGCACATCTAATATCGCATTAGGCATAATAAAGCATATTATCGAGTGCAGGCATCAAATTACAACAGGATAAAGATATAAAAACACTTCGTGAATATCCCTCTTTATTTCAAAAAGCTGAGTTTTAGTCAAAATTATATGCGGATAGTACAAACTTCGTTATGCAATACTAAGCTATAGCGCATTGTAATCATCACACTGACTAGGAGAATATTACTACTTCATTTATGTAAATGTTGATCAGTAGTCTCATATAAAGTACCACTATTCTCTCTCTCTCTCTCTGGCCAAATATATATATATATATATATATATATATATATATATATATATATATATATATATGACCAAATACTAGTTCACTCATAATCGTAAATATTTTGAGTGACTTAGCAACACGTGTTGTTCACTGTCAGACCTAGAAAACTATCTAGACATGACAAATCCTCTTGGAAAACTACGTGACGATAAACAGAAACGACCCACTTACTAATGACAAATGAACGACCATCTGATTTACACACATGTAACTTGGTAGAAACTTGGCATAGAAATCTATGCAGTGAACATTCGACTACACCTGTTTTATATGAAGGCTTACAAAATAATATGATCACCTATTATACCTTGATACAGGGAATTTGTTTAGAAGGTGAGATAGGTCTTTTAGCTAAAATCAACTAGTTAACCCGAAAAATGACGTTTTTGGTCAACACTCTGTTTAATAAATTAGAAAGTTAGATATGGAAATTTTCAAAAAAATATGTAAGTTTGTTGTGTATTTTCTCTTACCTTCCGTTTAACTGAAAGTTGTAATCTTCAGTCTCGTCACTATCGGAATTAATAAGTGCCGGATGTTGTAACACTGATGAATTTGAAGATGCTGATTTTCCTTGTATTAATTGTAGTTTTCGGATATGCAAAGCCATTATGTGTTTAACTAAACGCCTGGTTAGATAATACAAAATAGCAATATGATGCCAACTTGGTTGTCGACCTAATAATTCTAGAACATCAGCTTCGAAATTTGGATAATTTGTATGGTTTGCCAGACGTTTTAGTAAGTCAACTGTTATCACCAGCTAAATTAAGAGTTCAAACAAAAAATAAAGCTAAAATTAAAAAGGTGACATAACCTGAATACTACAAAGTCACATAAAATAAATAAATGATACTAGTTGAAAATGATATATCTGTCTAATCTTTATGGAGTAATGAATGCCTCCTGTCTTGGTCTTGCTTCCCTTATTATTATTATTATATCCTTTAATTCCCAGAGGAACATACGGCTTCAGCTGCGCGTCTCCATTGCCTTCGGTTCTCTGCCAACGTTTTCACCTCGCCCCAAGTCCGTCCACACGCCTTCATCTCCTCTTCACATGACCTCCTCCAAGTCACCCTTGCACTGACGACCAACTCGCCGCCTCCCTTTCGGGTTCCACTTGAGCGATGGCTTGTCTAGTGATGTCACTTGATGGTTTCCTCAGCGTATGGCCAGCCAATCCATCTCCATTTCTTCCTGTCTATTTGTTTCACAATCGGTTCCTGGTTGGTTCACTCATTGCCAGAGATCCCTGTTGCTGATCTTTTTTGGCCAGCCATCTGATCTTGAGTATTGAGCGAAGACAACTTTTAATGAAGGTCTGTAGTTAGTTTGAGGTGCTCTTTATGACGCGCCAAGTCTCTGATCCTTATAGTAGCACTGACTTCACATTGGAGTTGAAAATCCGGATCTTATTTTTGATGCTGAGTGCTGTTGACCTCCACACACAGACTTGAGAGTAATGAAAGCTTGTCTTGCTTTTCCGATCCTCCCTGCTTTGATATCGTCGTCAGTTCCGCCTGTAGTTGAAACAATGCTTCCCAGGTGGGTAGGTAAAGGAGGTTTTTTCTTTCAGTTTCCTCCCATTTATGCTGGCTGATTGTTGTCTGTTGTTGTTGTTGCTGTTGGTGTTGGCCAGGAATCTTCATCACCTCTGTTTTATCTATGTTTACTTGAAGTTTTATCTTTGATGCTTCTTCTATCCCCAATTTGTTTCTTTTCACTTGCATATCTTCCAGTTTGTGGGAAATCAGACTTATATCATCGGCGAAGTCACCCATTATGCAACAATGCGACCCAAAAAGTAACCTAAACCAGAGCTACAACAAGTTGCGGTTATTAGACAATACAAACACAGGATTTATTCATACAAATACATTAACTTTAAGTCTATGACTGACCACATCAACAGTTCACAGATATATAATATGATTAAAATGCCGTAGAATTTGGCGAAATAAAAATACCCCGGTACACCATAAGAAAAAGATCTTCAGTTTAAGATGAAAATTATTACGATTTAACATTTACTTAGATATGATGACGTACGACTACTGAAACTGGCAACTTTTAACCTCATATAAGACTATTATCTGAAGTTGATGCTGATGAACTCATCAAATTCGCAATCATTAATTATAAAAACCACTAAGACACTAGAATGTTATCATGGAAATATGGGAAAATTGTTATCTTACTTTGTTCCTCTGTTGTAAGCGTTTCACTTGTGCTAAACAGCAGTGTTTAAGACTTCTCTGACTCTCTTCCAATGGTGATAAATGAGGTGAATCTGAAGTCATGTTGATATTAGGAATAGAGAAACATCTTTTATTCGCCAGCCGTTGTGTTACCTCTTTCTTGGTGTTTATACTTTCTTCGGGAGAAGAAGAGTCACAAGTGTTTTGAACGGAATTTTTGCAACTTAGACTTTCAGCTTCATTACTAACAGATAGGAAGCGTTCACGTTTAACAGACTGAGTACTCTGTTTGGCTGCTTCAGTAGCTTCAGCTTCCAAAGTTCGAAAACGAAGTTCTAAATCATCTTCAGATATCTTACCCATAAGACGTTCGGAGAGTGCATCAATCATTGCAGCAACATATTTAGCATATGGATATTGTGTATTACCGTTTGTTGATGTGTCAGCATGACAGTCCCCTTTCTCTTTGTCATTTTCAATTTGAAAAGATTCTTTTGAACAATTTCCTGGATGTTTTGTTGCATCGTTAGGCTAAATTGAAGACATTTGAATGTTATACACAAAACACCATAAAAATATATTTCTTAAGAAAAAAGTAATTTTGCTAAATTCAAATTATTCTCCACTTTTTTTTAGATTGCTTTTTAAAAAAATTCAAATAGTTTGTGCGACATTAAACTCCAGAATTAAGCAAATTATATCCACTTCTGAGTATCAAATACCGGGGAACAATCAATGACATGTTAAGCAAATATATTAGTAGGAGCGATGAAACTGTATCACTGTGAAGTCTAATAAAGTAGTACGTTCAAAAACTGAAACACTTTATAGGACTGTAACAATTTTTGAAAAAAAGCTCTTTCTGTTCATTATAAGTGACGTTTTCTTATGTTTTCAACCACCAACTTCACTCACTTTCCTTAGAAATCTTAAATATTATCTTAAACGGCCACATATGTTTGATTTTTATTTTTTATTTTAATCCTTCACGTTCCCAGTGGAACATAGGTCTTCAAGCTAGAGGCTTGAAGTTTCGGTAGCAGTGGTGTTTGTTTTTACAGGATGGGCTTACTAGCCTCATGTCTAACCTTCCCTCTTTACCATTCTTATTAGTGGCTTAGCAAGGTAAAGGAGCGCGTCGGGCAGAGATCGAGCCCCGAACCCCATGCGTTGTTGGCGAGCATTCTACTACTGTATCACCGATACACGAATGTGCTAACACATGATCACACTACTTATGAATAATCCCGTTAAGCAAGTGTTCATCTGAAAGTTCAACAGAGTCGACTAAAATACGAAAGCACCTTCTTCTGGATGAAGTGGCGCGGAGCTATAGCAGTAAAAGTCAACGACTTTAGCATAAATCATCAACTGTATCTCTTGTTTGCCATACAACAAAAGGTAAGCATACTGTAATGAGAACTGTACTACTGGATAGGGAAACTCGACTGTTCTTATGAAATGTAATGATTACATAGTGAAATATTACGAAAAATCTATTGAGCTGAAGTGTTTTCTATCTGGCATATTACTATCGATCGATGAATTATGTATTTGGAATTGTTTACACGTGTTTTCAATACCAGATACACTCATATTCGGGGGTTTCCAAACACAAAATCGTTTTCATGCAAAATAAACCTAAAAACACAAGAGTATGTGTGCAGTGCAAGTATCTGATGTACTACATTTCTCATTTTTGGTTAAAAATAATGTCTCGAAAGCTTCCTCATCTGTTAAGAGGGTTTAAAATCCAGGATGAGGATGATAGTGGCTTGAAGTTTTCCGAGGCTTGCTAATTGATTACGAAAAATTTTATAACTAAACTAAGTGCAGGAGTTCAATTCACCACAATCCATGTAGCACACAAAGCAAGAGGAAAGAGTAAAGAAAGACACAAAAGAGAGATAATAAAGAGAAACATGAGGCAGAAATAATAGTAATATGGAAGAACAATATAATTTTATTGGGTATGATAAATCACAAGGAGAGGATGCTTCTGAGCCATTGAGAATTATTCTAAGCCATATCACCAATTACCTCCAGCGAATGGCTTTTAAGATCCCGAGGGACCCAACTAGGTAATCTACACCTTCCTACGTGGCTTAAACTAACTATTGTGGATTTTATTGACTGATAAGGTCATGTTTTCGTCTGACCACCACTGGCTCTTTTCCAACCTGATCTTATGTCAGTTTGAGTCCACCGTTGATTTTGTGAAGATCCCCAGGTTAGGTAGTGTTTCTCTTTGTGTCTTAAGTTAGTGCTGACTAGGAATAGATGATCATATGGACAGAACTGCAGAATATAACCAAAGTTGTTGGTTCGTAGGCAGGGAACTCTGTAAGTATCACCTAATTGCGCATTGAAGTTACCTGCTAAAACAGCTATATCTGAGTGTTTTGCTTTTTGCAGCAAACTAGACATCTTCTGTTAGAAGTCTTCCTTTGATTCACCTGAACTGCAGTCGGTTAGGGTGTAAGCGGAAACTATGTTAAGAAAACGACAGGTAACGCCGTCCTTCGTTCTCCTAATGGACCCATTCAGACGGACCGCACACATTTCTAAGGTGAATTTCGCAGATTCACCCTGTTGGCGCAGTGGGGTTAAGTGAATGACTACACTCGGGTCTTGTATGTGTGTCTCCGAAATACAATGTACATCCATGGCTCGAGATGCCAGAGTTCTGGCTAGTGATGACTGTTGTCTGATTTGGTAGAGGATCCTGACGTTGAGTGCTTCTATATGAAACTGGTGGCGTGGATTCAGGAGGTTATCGGGGGTATTTTTGTGGCTCTCATCGTTATTTGCGGTCACAGAATGAAACGAAGATGACTGACCAGCCCGCAGCATAGTAGAGACAGTAGTAGGGAAGTAAGATGATGAGACTGATAGAGATGATCAGGAGGGCTACATGTGCTTTTGAAAGTGTGTGGGCGGTTGTTACTTCCCTACTGCCCACACCATGGAAGTTGAGTTATTCTTGGGGTACCTGAAACAGAAACAGAATTTGTGTTGCGTGATAGCAGAGCCCAAGAAACAGTTGTTTGTAGCCTGTCACACATGGCCTGCATGAACTAGCTTTTAGATTTGGTTCCGTATTGGTAAACTTACCGCCGGTTACGGACCACCATAGGGTAATTGGGGATGTACAATTTTTGTGGTTGACCTTTTCTAAACCTCTCTTTTCAGAGTGAAGAGACAGCATAGCTGGCATGCTCGTCATCTGAGGGAAAAAACCTTTCTGCTGTTACATCCCTATTCCCCAACAGCAAGACGTTACCCACAGCCCCCAGCATAGTGTAAAAACATCTTAAACACTGTCTTTAGTCTAATCGCTATCTGAGTAACCTTCCTGGCATGGTAGGACCTGCAGGAACATTAGTTCCAGCCAGTGCAGCATGCTATCAAGAGAGAACCAGGAAACAAATCAAGAATTCAACATTAGGTTAATGAAGCAAAGCCACTTAAAATCAGAAAATTTCCTGTATTAATTATTATTCGTGTATCTTATTAGACTCATAACTTCTTTCTGAAATACATGGTACTGTAATCAAGTAGCCTGGTGATGAAGCTTCTATGATCACGCATTAAAAAACTCAGATGGTATTGATCCGATGTAAAATGTACAATACTTGTCAAGTCCGATGCCCAATTTCATTCGTAATCCATTTAATAATATGTAAAACATTTCACAAAGTGAAGATATGCATGCGAATATCGTTTATTAGCTCCTCTTTCAGTCTCTTTTGTTGTTCTTAGTATAATTTTTGACATTTGCAAACTGTTGAAAGAATACAGGTTAAGAATTCTTGATGAAGATGCTAATAGGCTGGAGGAGCAACATATGGAAGAAAGCAGTTCATGAACTCATACACGATCACAAAGTTTAGGCGACTTTTAAATCGCCCTTCTTCGCCATAATTGAAGAGTTTAGATGTCTTAGTGATAGAGTTAGTCAAAAACAAATCTGGAGGAAGATAAACGCGTGCTTCAAGGATGTGAGATATCCACCCACTGAAAACTACAAATCATGCATACGTTATGCATGCAAATATATATATATATAAGAGTAAGAAACCTCGCCTAGATTACTACCTTGCTAGTTTGATAGCCGGTCAGTCCCAAGCCCGGATAAAGAGGGAGGATGGGGCGTGGTACTAGCAACTCCACCAACAAAACTTAACCAAATCGCTACAGAAACTTCAACGCACAAATATATTAAAAATTCTAAAAATATAAGCAAAAACCTTATTTTTCGCTGGAATCAGGGAAGTGAAATGACACAGGCCGGTGAAAGCCTTCGGGAAGCCAATCAGCCGATGTGCCTTCTTTCGATGAAAGCAAAAGTAAGGATGGGGACGTGGAATGTTCGTACAATGTACGAAACTCGAAAGGCTTCCCAGGTAGCTGCAGAAATGAGAAGGTATGGAATAGAAGTGTTGGGAATCTGTGAGAGCAGATGGAACGGATGTGGTAGGTGCCAACTATCAACTGGAGGGACAGTAATCTATTCCGGTCACCCAGAGGACAACCACGAGCACACCGAGGGAGTGGCCATCATGATGCCACCAACAGCAGCCAAAGCTCTCATGCAGTGGGAGCCGATCTCCTCCAGGATAATGACAGTCAGGTTCAACTCAAAAGGAAGGAAGGTTACAATCATTCAATGCTATGCGTCTACAAACGTCTCAGAACAAGAGAAGAAGGAGGATTTCTACAGACAATTACAAATAGTAATGGACAACGTCCCAAATGGCAATATCAAAATCCTGGTGGGTGATACAAATGCCCAACAAATATGCAGGAGAAAGTGGAGATGGAGTAGACACTCGCTGAGGAGACCGCTGGGTGACATCCCCCGTCAAGCCCTCGAGTGGAAACAGGCCGAAAGGGAAGCGGCGAGTGGAACGTCATTGCAAGGGTAACATGAAGGAGATCATGTGAAGAAGAGTTGAAAGAGTATGGACTAAGATGGATGCAGGTGAAAAGTACAGCAGTAGAAGACAGAAGCAAGTTAAGACGTGCAGTTGAAGCCCTATGTTCTACTAGGAACCCAAGGGAACAATAAATAATTAAATAAAATATGAGTTAGAACTACACCTTTTATGATTTATTTTTATTTATTTTTTTTTAATTTTTGATTACAGCTTCATTCCACACTTTATTTTTGGTACAAGTATGGAATTTTCAGCATGGATATCGGTAGCCCGAATTTTCCAGGCCGACTATAGATATCAGGTGTCCGTCGGCGGGGGATCGAACCTTGGGCCATGTGCATGGTCGGCGAGAGTCCTAACCACTGTGCCACCGACGCACAGTGTAAAAGTGTTAGTGCGTAATATATACCTGAATTCAGTATGTTCAGTAAATATGCAAATAAGTAACTGTTTAATATGTACTAGCCGGTAAGAAAGATAAAAGCAGTCCAGAATTATTTGAATCAATTTGAATATATATATATATATATATATATATATATATGCATGACGTATGCATGATATATATTGTTCACTGGGTGTATATCTCACGTGATTATTTTCCTCCAGATTTGTTTGTGATAAGCTGTTTTCAGCCGACAAAATGAATCACTTGAAGCCTGTTCATTTAGTTGAAAACAGACGAATGAAGCCTTTGAAAGATGAATAAATGTAGATAGTCAATTTTTACTTCATCAACATACTACAAAAAAGGAACGTTTGCTAAGCCTGAAACGATGCTCCAATGGTACTTAAAAGCAAAACAGGTAAAGCTTACTCTCCGACACCTAATAATAATAATGTGTCAGATCAGCATGTCTATACAGTATGTTTTCAAGTACTGGCTTTGTAGGGATTTTGTTTGATTGCATGGTGGATACAGTATGTGTGGATGAAAGTTAAATTTATTTACATATATTATATTGGGAGATACACTCAACTGTTCATTTCAGTTTATATTTCATACAACGAAGTAGTTAGTCATATGTGAAAGATAAAAAGCACACACACGCACACACACTTGCTAGTTATAAAATCATTAGACATGAAACAGTTCAAGATGAACTGTCGTAGTTATGCTGTAAATAAAACTATTATGTGAAATTAGTCATCTGAACTAAATAAATCCTCATAAAATCCACTAATGAATACACGTAGAGTAATAAGAAAATTACAAAACACTAAGTGAGTGTGGATTAAATATCTCCGCAATCTCACACGTAAAAGTATGAAACAAGGGAGCCTTTAAAACTACTTTATATATATATATATTCTCACCAATGCTTCTTGCAGTTCTTCCCATCATCGATTTGTTAGAAGACATTCAGTAGGGAAACATGCAGGGTAAAAGAGAGAAAATAGTAACCCAAAGTATAACTTACAGATAATTCATTATTTACGAAAGATTTGCATTCTGTACTCTCAGGGGTGTTCATTGTCTCCTTTCTAGTTTCACTATTACTCAAATGGATCTGATCAGTAGATTGTGAGTAACCAATAAAATCTTTTTCAGTTGTTGTGGTTAAATTCTTAGATGTAGTATAATGAAGCGTTTTACTTGATTTTGTATACCTGACTGGCGAACTATGACTGAAGAACTAAATTAATAAATAAATAAAAGAAATTATTTTGTAAACTAATTAGAAAAGTAAACACATTTGTATTATTTATTTTTCAAGTAGTGGTTTTGCAGGGATTTTGTGTGATTGGTTGAAGGATTTTATCATGAGCTGACATCAGTTAGACAACCATCTGAAAACTGACCAGGGAGTACTGGACAGCTGTTTCGTCCTACTTTGGGACTCTTCACAGTACTCACCCACTACAGGAGTTCGTACCCAGGACCTTCTGTTTACAAGGCGAGCTAGCTCGTAGATCCAATGGCCCTTAAATTCTAACTCCTACCAATTTTCTCAGAATACAACTTGACAATTCATGCTCAGATTCCAATGAAGTGATCGAGCTTCAAATGCCAGTCATTTAATACACACACACAGACAAAAGTCTTTATTACTGAATGAATTATATCATAGGGAAGTAAAGAAAAAAGAAAATGGTGGCATTCCCGATAATATGAGAGACACAGATCATTATCATCTAACCAGGAAATTGTGATCAACATCGCTGCCTACCCACCTACTACCGTTACTGTAAAAAAAATAAGTGATATGAAATATACTGTATTCTCTAAAACAGATCAGCACTGATTTAAATAGTTCATTGTTGTGTTTTTTCTTAAAAATTTGTTCTGACAGTACTATTGAACATGAAATAAAATCTCTGAAGGATATTTTATCTAAGAATGGATATCCTGAGAAGTTCATTAATAAATACTCTAAAGAAACTACCCCCTGCAAAACAATTCAAACAGTTCCAAAGAAACCTGTCTATATCAATTTGCCATTCAAAGGAGATGACGTACAGGAAGTAGTGAAACGAAGACTCGACAAAGCCATCAAGAGAACTTACTATGTTGCAAAACTTGTTATCCTTAACACCACCAAGCGAGTGCTTCAACAATCTGAGAAAGACCAGTCGCCAATCCTCGACACTTCAAACTGCATATATCAATTTGAGTGTGTTTGTGGCAGCAAATACATAGGTCGTACGGAAAGGCGATTGTCTACTCGCATGATGGAGCATTCGCCAAAATGGTTGAAAACAGCTGAGTTCAAAGTGCCAAAATCCTCAATAACAAAACATCTTGTAGATTACAGGCATGATATCGACGCAGTCAAGTCATTTACCATTGTCAGCGAACAAAGAAACTGTTAGGAAGAGGCAAAACACATGCAATTATCAAGTTATTATCATGTCGTTGACATGCATTTGTTTCTGCTTTCTGATTGGACGCTTGCACAATTCCAAACTCTCAACCGGATTGGTCGATTTCCACTCTACCTTATTTTTGTATAAATACAGTCACTTTTGTCATAAATAAATGATTCTGGTTTTACCGCTGATTATCGCGTGTTCTGCTTTACCAGTTAAGTGAGCACTGGTCAGTAGTTAAGCAGTTACCTCGTGACAAAGATCTAGCATCATAACAGAAACAAGAAGATGCTTGCAATTGCAGAGGCTTGTGCAATTCGAATTTATAAACCAGCTCTCTGTATACAAAAGGAGATGGTAGTGACTCTGAATCTACCATGGTAATACGTTTTACTTATTATTCTCTACTTGTTATTACTATTATTCTACCTCTCCTTCTTACTATTATTATTATTATTATTATCATTATTATTGATTCATCTAAAACTGTGCTTTATCAGTAAGATTATCTTAACTCACTTCAACACTATTATTATAACTATTAATATTGATATTAGTCTGTTTGCAATTCTCGTTATATTCCCTAATGACTAATTGTTTATCTAAGTGATGTAATTGAAGCGTAATGCAATTTATCTTAATTTTGATCTCTCATACTCTCTCTCCCCTTATCTATTTGAACATGACCTGGAAAACATTCGCACGTGTCTTTCTGCATGATTAATTCAATGTAGTTTGTTTAATTATCAGTCTTATATCTCCCAATGTAATTTCAAAGGTATATATATCCGTGTATGTAGAGTATTCAACTGACGAGTTCTACCGAAATTTGATGAATTCATTAAATCCTGCTTTATTAACCTTTATTGTTTGTTTTAAAATTCTGATGTTGAAAAACCTGTATTTCAAGTGTAATTACATAGACATCTCAAAGAAGCAAACTCATGGATCTGATGAATAGAAAGGCAAGTTACGCACAAATAAATTGAATACAAATTAGGTGGACAGGTTATATTTTTAATTTGTAGCAACAGCTCATCTTCGAAATAAATATCTTAAAAAGACCAAGTAATTCTAACTTAAAGAGAAATTCCACCGGTCAAAAAGTAAATCAGCTTAGCGCACTTTGAATGCTTATTAAGCCCAGTCAATTTTTTAATTTATTTACACAATGGGATTTCGTTTCCTAATTATTTACATTGAACCAGAGTTGAGATTACTGAATGCATACCTCGTAGACAGTTTAAAAAATATTAAATAATAATGAATGAGGAAGTTGTGAAAAGGACTCATATAAATATGAAGAATGCCTAGTGTTTTTTTAATGCTATGCTATGTCCTCTAAGAAACATCTTGAAGTGGTAGGTCGATATAAATTTTTACAATAAAATGCAATTTACTAAAGACTGAGACTTCTCTTTTGTCACAGAAACCGGGATAAATTACTGTTTAAGTTTATTTATATATAAATATATACTCCTACAATCAGAAGACACAACTTAAACAAATACATTATTTTCAGGATTTCATCATGAGCTGACATTGGTTAGAGAACCATCGGAAAACCTGGGAGTACTGGACAGCATTTTCGTAATGCTTTGGGACTCTTCATCAGTACGCACCCACCGCCAGGGTTCGAACCCAGGATTCCCTGGTTACAAGGCGTGCTCATACATCATTAAGCCATTGGGACCCGGTCAAATTGCCCATGAATTCTAACTTCTGCCAATTCACGATATAGCGCAACCGCTAGCCAATGTCTTCGGCAAGTATTTTTCCTCACCCAACCTGCTGCACTCTACTGGTCACGACTTCCCACTGGAACCCCGGGTAACTACCAGTGGCTTAATGGTCTACGAGCTCGTCTTGTAACCAGAAGGTCCTGAGTTCGAACCCCGATGGGTGCGTACTGATAAAGAGTCTCAAACTAGGACGAAACAGGTGTCCAGTACTCTTTGCGGGTGTTCCAATGGTTCTCCAACTAATGTCAGCTCATGATGAAATCCTGTAACCAATCAACGAAATCCCTGCAAACCAATACTTTGTACACTATTTTCAGTTATGTCTCAAATTAGATGGCAGACAGTTGATGCCAGTGCAGTCAGTAGAATTGAAGTTCATGTATATGAATCAGTGGATCACATTATTAATAACAAGGATAAATTCAAACTAGTGTTTAAATAACATAGACGAGTCAATCATTGTAAGTGTGTAATTAGAATGTGCATATCTGTAAGGAAAGGGAGAGGGAAAATAATTACTGTCTCATAGCGATTAGATAATAGTGTTTGCTTTTATAATAAATTCTGAATTCAAGATTAAAAGAGGCAATTATAACACAGTATGATGATGATAATAATAATAAATATAACGGTACAAATAGTTATCTGACATCACTAGGACAGAAAACGATTGTAGGTTATGGATGAAGGTTACATGGGGGCGATTGACTGCATAAACTTTTTGTGAACACAGACTATCTGCCTCAGACTTAGCAATCGATTATATACAAACCTTGAGAACTAATGTGGTACCTTGTATAAAATGGTAAAGGCTGAATTTTTCACCACTCTTCTCCTCCATATTCACTAGGTATGCCAGTGTGGAGCTGCTGATTAACCTTATAATCCCTATTCCTCACCAAGCTGGATAGTACTGAAGAAAGCAACAATGGGCCGGCTAAATCGTTCTGCCTATGTACAAGTTTTCACATTGAACTGGCCAGACTCGGTAGCTAATGCTTCACCTGTACTGGCATTCAACATGTGGTGAATTTTCAGTATAGTAGTGAGGCAAAGAATGATTTAAATATTATTATTATTATTATCTCGGTAGCCTTAGCCAAGCGTCAAGTGTGATGTGCTGATATAACAAAATGAAAAACAATTGACTAAATCCGAGTTTTATTTATTTGTTTTATTTACAGCTTGATTCCACACTGTATTTTTGGTACAAGTATGGAATTTTCAGCATGGATATCGGTAGCCCAAATTTTCCAGGCCGACCATAGATATCAGGTGTGCACCGGTGTGGGCTCGAACCCCGGACCATGTGCATGGTCGGCGAGAGTCCTAACCACTGTGCCACCGACGCATCAAACTATTTTCTTATCTTTCAAACCATAGTATGACTATTTCTACCTAAAAATGAATCCAATAACGGCTTTATTTTTCACCCAATCGCTCAGTACGAAGCTGAAGCAATATAAAGATGACAATTTTCGCTCATTCAAAGATGAGAAAGCTACTAATGCTTTTTGAAAAAGGAGATCACTTAATATTTTGGTGGCGTTTATTGGGTTTAGTTAACAGTTTTCTGCCAGGATAAATGAACCTATTCACTTTGATTATACATAATCATGTGATATTGATTGAGACATTTTCAAAACTAATTATGCCAGCGAAATAGCAAGGACTACAATATTGCATGAGCTAAATGGCTATAAATCCTGGAGATGCTAGACTGCCACGTTATCAGGAAGGAAAAGCTCAACCAGTTTTTAGAAAGCATGCACCTTCACAAGCACTTTGCCTGTATATAGTCAAACGTGATATATGGAGTAATTTGTATGAAGTTTATGAACGAAAAAATGACACAGGTAAAGAGACATCAGATTTACCAGAGTGTGGTGCACCTCCGTTTCCAAAGGCAACTGATGATTACAAACCACACCACCACGGAATAATTGAAGGGATAGTACACGTCAATCCATGGCTTATGCCATTAGAATCTTATGTTTTTGCTGAAGTTTCAGCAAGATATCGATATATTAATACAGATATGGATTTATTTGATTGTGAAATAAATGAAGTTGTTTTCCAAAGGC